AGTGGGTAAAACTAAATTATTGTTGGAATTCATAAAGAATTTAAATTTTCAAGAAGTTTGCATATTAAGTGGGGAAAATTTAATAAGGGTATATTAGTAAAAGAACACATTAAAATATTCTACATTAGGAAACAAGCCTATATATTTGGGACAAGAGAAAAAGGAAACCCAGCCTATATAATTGGGACGGAGGGAGTATTAATTTTTATTAACAACTTTTACTATAAAAATATAACTTAAATTTCTTTATTTGATTGAATTAGTCAATTAAAAAAATCATATTCCCTTATTTAAATGGTTGTTTTCATTTAGTTGTTTCAAGTATATCCTAACTAAATAATATATTTAGTGTAATAAAATTAATGCATATAGAATGTAATTATATAATTTAATAAAATTTTATTTTAGGTTATATTTACTCTTATTTAAAAATTATTTTAATCGGTAGTTAAATGTGAATCCCAATGATACCTAATTTTTTTTAAAAAATGGAATACCAAATGATAGGGTAATTATATTCCCACTAAAATTTTTATTAACTACATAACATTATGACTGCAATAAACATTTATAATATTTGCTCATTTTCACACTTAATGCTCAATTATTTTTTGTTATATTGTTATTATTATATAAAACTAAATAAATTATTATAACATTATAATATGCGTTGAAATTCTAGATCATCCACATACAACATTAACAAATTAAAAATTTCAATATACGGAGAAAACATACGATGAAAGAAGATGGAGATAGTCTGTTAAGGCTATGCTTTTGAATTTCCTGCCAATGGAGAGCACATGGAAGAGATTGAGATATGATTATTTTTATAATTTATAATTTATATTAATAAATGATAGGGGATATGCATGGTTGCTTTGTGTTAGTACATGCACTATGAAATAAGTATAATTGAGATTATTATAGCTTAAAAACCAACATTGGTCATTGTCAAACTATTGTCAATGAAAGCAATTTGCTGTGGGCTAAAGGTAAGAACGGTTGTCAATGAAAACAATTCGTTGTGAGCTAGAGTTTCTCAAAACTCAAAAACAACATAGTTGATGCTTATGTATATGAATGTATTCATGTTGGGCAATAGAGTTTTGGAGAAGTCAACTTGCATGAGACAAATTCTACAAAAAAAATATGGTTGTTTTGGTTTTTGACGAAATTTTTTATTATGTTCAAAGATAATGTAGTTCTTTTTTTTCTCTATTTTTATTTTTAAATTCTTTTTGTAATGTCCATATAAATGATGAATATAAGCTACTTATAAGTTGGTGAGTGTCATGAAGTTTATTTTATTTATTTTGTGATAGTTAAGCATTTCAGTTTAATTTCTAGTATCATGGATTTAATTTTATGAAATTTCTATTTTAGAATTATCTATTACCGAGAGTCATTTTAATTGTATATATACATCCGTTTGAGACATCCTAGGCATGCGAAAACCCAACAATATTTTTATCTGATCATATTCATGCAAATATGCACTATTTTTTTCCATTCATATTTATAAATTTGTGGAGCCATCTTTTGTTGGACATCTATATGCTAGATATCTTTTCGCTATTGTAATTTATCTTTGGCTTCACGATTTATAATTTTAATATATCTAATTTTTGGTTTTTATTTAGTTTTTTTAGTTATTAAATTATAATTTAATAATTACTTTTAGGAGAGATAAATGAATATTAGCATAGGTGCAATTATATTGAACTTTGACAATTAGGATTTTGTTGAAACGTGAATAGCAGCTACCTTGTATTGGTCTTTGACTAATTTTTATATTAAATAAAATCATTTGAGATATTTTTTTTCCATATTTACCCAATTTTCTATATTAAACAAAATTTAAAGTATTAATTATAATTAGCATGTCGCTGCATCATATTGGTATCTCATATTCTCGATAAAAGACGTGATGCATGATATATCATGTTGACCTTGTTTTTTGTAAGGGTGATGTGGACAGTAGGTGTCGAGTCCACTCTCATCCACATAAGC